AATATGAGGGTCCACCTCGTTTTGGTGACGAGTGGTCGACCAAATATACGGGTCCACCTATTTTTTATGTTGAAGGGTCGACCGATTATGAGGGTCCACCCATTTTTAATGAGGAGCCAAGTGTGGAGTCGAGGACGAGTACCACGTGGTTGTAGAATTATCTGTGAAGCCAGAGGTTGTGCCTGGAATGGATGTTGTCAATGAATTGGAAGATGAATTTTCATGGTGTTTTATTCAACAAGCAGATGTGTCTGATAACTCGCATCGTCTACCCAAAAAGGATAAAGTGCAGAAGACCATCTATTTCGGGTCATTGACTATGTAGGAATTTTTTGGGAGCTTGACATGTTGAGGTCATAGATTTTTTGCTTGTGAGTATACCGGTCAAATTAGCCCGGTCGAGATTGCAGCGCAGTTAAAGACGAGATTGTTTCGGATTCGAGGGCTAATCGTTTGAAAGTGGGAGAATGATGAAGATATGATGCAGAATAATATCTATTATTTTTTGTATTAAAATATTTGATATTTAATTAGTATTTATTATTATTATTAGTATTTAATATTTATTTGTTATTTATGTGGTGGACAAGTTGGAATTTTCCCCTTACAAGAGTGTTGAAAGTGTGATTAAAGGAAAGCATGCAAATTTGAGGGACACGATATCCTCATGAGCGCTATCTCCCCATTTCCTTACTTTCTTTGGACCTTTTTTTTCCTTTTAAAATTTTGTAACCAAATTTAATTATTACCAAGAAAATGGAGTGTCACACTCTACTATTTTAAATAATCAAAGTTACAACCCGAGTCAAAATTGTCAATGTAAGTATATGGTTTTTATATTTAATTTCGAAGATTTGAGAATACACGTGATTAAATTATAGAGTTCCAAACTTAGTAGGCTATGGATGAATAATAAGCACGCCTAATGAAATTATTTGTCACTATATATAGTGTTATAAGATAAGTTAAACAATAATAGAATAACATTGATGTGTGTCGGGTTGTTTGCTATGAGACACCAATGTTTTTCAAATGTTCCAATATTTTTTATATTTGTTACGTTCGTTAGGTATGTCTAATTATTAAGTAGATTTTTCTAACATATATATATATATATATATATACATTTCATATTGAAATGATTATTTTTATAAAAATAATTAAATAAAACTATGATATTTTACAGTATAGGTATTCATGTGTTTAACAATATGATAAATTGACCCACTTAACTGTTACAAGGCCTCACAATGATATTTGAGTTGCTACTGTTATTTTTTTGAGATGATTATTGGGCTTTGTGAGATCAACAACAATTACTATTCATGTGGTGTTTGACTGATATAATATACCCTAGGATCTTTGGGTTGCATGGTTGATTAAACTGACTACAACCCGTGTCGAGCTGAAGAGCTGGAAGCTCAGGTGGTCCATAGTTCGAAGGTGGAGCTAACAACTCGATCAGAATAGTCATAGGTCGGTCGCACCATGATGAGCTCGTAGATAAAGTTGATAAAGTTCAAGGGAACAGAGCACTATAAAGATCATAGGACTACGCGGAAAGGATTCTCTCAACCATGGTTAAAGATCTTGTGGAACGAATTTCGTTAATAGGTTTTACAAGGTAACTTGTATTATACACTACACTTTTGGTTTATCTAATGGAGGTTCTGACTTGAATTTTGGAGAATTTATGTCGAGACACCTCCACACGCTTTTTTCTTCATAATCAGACCGGATCGAAGGATAGTTTGAGCACCAGTGGATCGGATTGAAGGTGTTTTACACATCATTGACTAATTTGCAACAAGACTCGATATATTGTTTTTCAAAAGTTCAAACACAATTTTTAGTTTTTTTCTACAATTTCAAGAGGAAGCATTTGTTATACACAACACTCTGAAAATGTTTGTGATGTCTAAGAGGGTCATTGCAATTTTAAATTAAGCACAATTGAAACTTTTCTCCATTTGAAAAATGTAAAGATAGTTTTTGTAGTTATCCTATATTTTATATGGAGTGGGGAGAAAAAAAAAAAAANNNAAAAAAAAAAAAAAAACAAGAAATGCAATTGATGATGGTTTCAAAATCTTTTGCCTTTAGGACAAGTGTTGCTAATGATGTTTAGGGTAGAGCTTCATTGGGTGGTGAAAATTAAGTTTGACTATATTGTTGACTGGGATTGGGCACCTAAACCTAAGTGTATTTCTTTGTCTTAAATTCATTAATTCCTTAATTATTCCTTTCTTAATTCTTCCATTTGTGTTACTAATGGACACTTGTTAAGTTGTTGTAGAACAACAATTCTATTGAGCCATCGGATGATTTTTTTTCGGAGTTATTTACCACTTAATGTATTGACACATGTCCAAAGTGTATTTATTTTAGGACACGTGTCAACACACTATTGGTGAATAAGTGTGGATGACTTCATAAATCGAATCATTCGATGGCTCTATAGCAAAACTTTGTTGTAGAACTTGGCTAGAACTTGGCTTTCTTTATTTTTATTAGTGCTTGCTTGGTTTCTACTTTTTTTTTTTCATCCTCGAGCAACTGAATTTTTGTTTCCTTCACTTCTCCTCTATTCTATAATTTCTATTGAAATTTGTGGTGCTTTGTTTTCTCCTAGATATATTTTGTTTTTTCTTACCTTTGGTGTTTATATTTTATTTTATTTTATTTATTTAAAGTTTTTGTTTTAATTCATGAAAAGAGATTGTGAATGAATGATGGGATTCTTTCTACTTTGTGTTTGCATTTGAGTACTTAAAAAAAAAATAAAAATCAGTCTTTTGAGGCCACCAAAAAACCCTTTCTACTATTTATTTACTATTTCCTTTTCAAGATTCGTTATTTCTTCTTCTTCTTTTTTTCCAGAATTTTTATTCATTGTGCCCTACTTCGCAAATATTTAGGTGTACTCTGGCACACCTAGCAAAGTGTGTCAATACTTTTTTAAAATGAACATGTTACTTTATAAAATGAACATATATAAACTTATTTACACATGTTCATTTTATAAAGTAACATGTTCATTTTAAACTGCCATGTCAAAGCACACGGTAGTAGCACTGGCCCTACTTTTCCTTTTATTTTCTCTCTCAATTATATTCTTGGTCGAATCATTTATGATGCTCCCCTTAGACCTTACAATCAACAAACTCACATCATATTTGATGAAGTAGTCCCTTTTGATTTATAATTTAGTGGCATTTTGGACCCATCAATTTCTTATATGGGGTCCTTTGATCCCATCCCCCCCAATAAATTATTTTTCAAAAGTTTTTTTCACTTTTTTTTTCACTCCCGAAACGATAGAATTTTATATAGCCAAACAGTCAATCAGCTGAATCTAAGAGGTCTATCTGAAAGTAGTCTAAGAGCAACTACACTAACACACCCACTTAATTTAGGGATATATCTATTAAGAGTCTTTTCTAGGTAGAAAATAATTCATTAGTTCATAAAATAACAATTTTGTTTTTGATAAAATATTTTTAATAGGAAAAAGGGAATGATCGTCATAGATAACATCAACATGATGTTGTAAAGCATTATCTTGTGAGCTATTTTTCAGCATCTAAACAAAACTTATATCTAAGTAATATACTTTTTTTTTATTATTATTATTAATTCTTGTTTATTTAAATGCTTGATGCACCTTTTCAAGTTGGGAAAAAAGGGGCCAAGAATATAATTATTATATTTTGTTGGGCATTTGTTAATTAATAAATTTGTACTCTACTATTTTGGTTATTTTATTAAGAGAGTGCTCGTGGGTTTTTGGAGAATGGGACATTTGAGAGGATGTTGGTCTTTTGAGATCTCATTGGAA